TTCCTCTTCTAAACGCCTTGAAATTGGCCTCTGTCTCTTTAAKAACCATCTTCCGCTTCTGTCTCGCCCATTTCGATGCGGTCGGGGGGGAAGAGTGGGGGCTGTCATGATGCAGTTTACTTGGCATCTGAAAATACATTTCCTCAAAGGTATTTTGAATCTGAAAAGAGCTTCACTGAGTGAGAACTAATGTTGAGAGTTCAGCAGACAGTTTAACTTTCACTTTCACTTTAACCCAGGAGCCAGCAGGAGTCATGGGTGGGGTGCGTGGGGTGGGGGGTGAGGATGTGTGCTTCGTGATGAGGAAGCTTGGCTTAAAGACACGTCCCAGGGGCGTTTCTGGTCCCAAAAGACGTTTCTGGTCCCCACCTGTCGTTTTGCTCCTCAGCATGGCTGCCTACAAACGCTGCAGGGTTTCTCAGACATGCATGAATGAGTCAGAACAAGGCTTTGGGCATGTTTTTTATGAGAGTATAACATTATAACATGATATAAAACTCAAAAAAGATGGTTTTCAATGATATTGCCCCTTTAAAGAAGTCAATCCGATTCAATATGGCTGCCACAGCTAATCGACATTAGCCAACACAAAAATGTCTATAACTCAGTCAGTTTTACAAATATTAGGCTCAAATTTGTTCTTGTAGTAGTTGAGGGTAACTCACAACACGTACTCTGAACATGAAATTGCATATGCTATATTCAAAGTTTGACCAAAATRGCTACAATTTTGCTATTTCTCAACGTATGTTGATTTTAGTCCAAAGCTCTGACATGAAATGTGGCTGGCAATATGCATTCCTTCAAGGAAAACTAAGCCTCTAATTTTATGTAGCTTTTTCTGGAAGAAAAATAGACCATAGGATAAATCATATGACAGTGTTCAGGGAATAGTAATGCATTTTCGCCCCTAACTTCCTGCTGACAATATTAGCTTTTGCGCTTTTTTATCCAGTGACCAGTGACATGTTGAATGGCTTGAAAAAAAGGCAGAATGTTACATAAAAWGAAGCTTGTTTATTAAACAGTTTTTCTCACGGCTTTGTGAAACTTCTCCAGGCATCTGAATATGTGATTGTTCTGTGGCGGTACGTGTGCGAGTATAGATATGGAAGCATTATTACCCAGGAGAGGTCATGGGTCAAGTATTAAGCAAGCTGCCTGCCTGGATCCCTGCATCAGAGATTTCACTCTGCTGGCCCCAGATATACTCCTGAGTCTTGTCTAAATAATCAAGAAGTCCTTCAGCATACAGTTTTCAAAACTGATAAATAAACACATGAGACCAAGATTAAAAGGAAGTATCGCTGCAAAGAGCCCACAGTGCCAAAGTGAAGATTTATTTCTTTATTTATTTTTTCACCTCTTAAGTTGAGATCAGCAAAGGTTTATGCACGTTATTCCTTCTGGAAAAAGAATACCCTGTTGGTCATAAGCTGTTACCTTTCATCCCGTTTTCTTCGTTTCATAACAATGTTGTTTGACCTTCTACATAGGAACAGTTTGTTTCAGCCTCATTTCTCTTAAAATGAAGGAAAACAATGGAACAGGCTCAGATAGGAAGTCACATTTCAGCTTATCAAAAACAGATTAGAAACTGAAGAAGAGGCTAAAATAGAACAAAGGCCCTTACCATTTTCACAGTTTGCATTTTTGTGGTTTCCAGATAGCATTTTAGTACTAGTTCTGCTTTCCATAAGACGTGCCTTAGATAGTTCAAAAGGCAGAAGCACATTTATGAAATTGATTCTTGTTGATGTTATTTTGTCAGTACTGTAGTATTAATAGTTGAAAGCTGGAGTAGTTGAGGTTTTAATATTTGTGTTTACAGCCCACTCTCTTTTTGAACCAGTCAAGCGTCCTTTTTTTCTTTCTAAAACTCCTGTCTGGCTTCTTATTTGTATCTCTAATGAGGGATGAAGTTAGAGTGAGCATTATCACACAAACTCAAAATAACCACAGAATTCAGACAGTGCCTTATTAGGTCACGTATCTACAATGGGAAGGAAGTGAACAAAAATTTATTGACAAGCTAGTGTTCCTCAGAGTACAAGATAACCTAAGTTGGAGCTGATGGCCTTGGCTTTTTCTTCAACAACAATTTATAATGTCTTGCATAGCTTGAGTGAAGTTTTAGATGCATTCCTTTGGATCTTAAAAATGCGTTACTCAAAATGAAGTGTTTAAAATAAACAGAAACCTTGGATGCTTTGTTTCTGTTTTACAGTGGAAAAAACTAAGTCATGACACAAGTTTTTGCTCTAAAGCCACAACAGAATTTACTAGTTTTTCCTTGGTAACACTCATATGTAGGAATATCCTATTAAACATGACTCCCTAGTTATATGATAGCCCAGCTGCAGCACTGTTATTACAGTAAAGCACCGATTCAAAGTATGACATGCTACTGAAAAGAGTAATTGAGAATGAAAACTGTCACAAACTGTCTATTTATGGATCCACTTCATAAAAGCGCTTATCCTCTCCACAACATGTCTGACTTGTATTTTGTTCTATTTTTGACCTGAATCTGTCCTTGAAAAGGACAAGAAAACTATCAGTCTGTGGGTGTGTGTGTGTTCAAAGTGTGTGCGTGTGAGTTTGTGTGACAGATGGATAGGGTGGGGTGTATGGCGTCACAAGTGCTCCAGTTTAGGAAAAGTGACACTTTGCCTTGAAAGACTCTTCAGGCCAGTTAGATAAGGAATTTAGTGGCTTTATCACAAATGCCCCTATTTAATTTAAAAGGGTGAGGCACTTAGGATCTGGCAGCAGTCTTTCAGTCCAGTGATAAATTTGCAAGAAAGTGGAAAAGAGTGGAGCCTGAGAGCAGATTAGCAGGATACAAATATAGAAGTGACATTATAGAGGGTATTAGTCAGGTGCCAAACAAGTGGTTGGTTCCTGATAGCTCTGAGAATGGGGCCCAACCGCAGGCTGGGAGGACAGTTTACTGGATACTCTGTGAAACTATAAGATAGATTAAACATAGCTGTTTTTACTTATTTTTCTAGAAACCGGTTAAATCCTCCAAATGGACAATGTTTTGAAGTGCTACTACATTTCAGTACAGAGCTTTAATAATATTATTTCAAATAAAAACATTGTGAAATCATGGCTTCATTTTTTTTATTTTAGAATAAAAGCTTACATAAATGCACCAAGTAGTTTTTTTTTTAAACAGAAAGAGCTTAATTCCAAAGTCCATAAATAGCAGTGCTTGTTATCATCTTATATTCTTCAATTTCTTTCTTTCTTCTCAAAATATCAGAAAAAAAGACAAGTTCTGGAAAAAAAGATCTAATTACAGTAGGGCTGGGCAAGAATTCAATAACAATATATATCACAATAGATACATTATCAAAATCTATAGAAAATTTGTCCAATGGAATGTAGATGGTTGATTTCACTGAACTCCGATCCAGAACCACACAGCATTCTGGGGGATGTAGGCAGAGGATAGACTTTAGCTGCTCGACCTCTCACAGCTAAGCAAGGCTGGCGGCATCAACTCATTCACTGTTTGCTAAAGCTAGAAACAACCTGTTGAGTAACATGCACAGCAGCAATTTCATGGTTCATCACTGTGCCTCAAATCTGCCTAAAAATGAAAACAGAATGATGTGGAGTGAAAGGAGAAAAGGAGAGCAACAGCTCGAGAGGAAATTTTGAATAAAAAAGGAAAAGTCATGTCACCAGTTTTGCAGTAATAATCAGCCTTTTTTCCTGGTCTTTATTTCAAATAGGTAAAACAAAAACTAATCCATAATTATTGATAGCGACTGCTATGAAATGCTTAAATTGTGATACATTAAGCCAATATCACCCAGCCGTAACGTACAGTATTTCCCTTCAATGATCTTGCAACTGCTTTCCTTGCTGCTGATTTGTACCTTTTAGATAGCTTGTAAGTCAACCAAGTTCATCCCTGTGTGATTTTTTTTTTATGAAGCACTGGTCACAAACACTCAGAATTCAAGGAACTGCAACAAACAAACAAACAAACAAACAAAAAATGTTCTTACTTTCTCACCATTTGTATCACCAACTAGTCTTGAGTCACAGAAACCACCTTAACGCTGACATCATGTATAGCCCCTGTGACATCAGCATCCAACAGCTGCTATTTTTCAATAAGCTGCCAGTATATTTTGAAATTGATAGTAAGTTCTTCAAACGCTTGGATTCTTTTATTTGCATGTGACCTTGAGTTACTAGATCTTTTACTTCTTGAGAAAATTAGTTTCACACATAGATAGCTGAATTAACCCAATATTGCAGAGCATAGCAGTCATTTTTGCAGAGTCAGATGAGACAGGGCGGCTAATGTCATCTGCTCTGGGTGCTGATGTGTGTGGGCCAAATTAACATGGGTTCTCCAGATGAAATATATTTAATGTTAGCACAAAAAGAAAGTAGAATCATTGCAGTTAAGAGTTTTTATGCTAAAAATGTCCAAATATACCATTTTGAAAAAGATAAATTAGTTTTAAAGGCAATTAATAACTAAAAATGCGATTCTTTACCTTAATTTACATTAAAGATGATTATCCAAACCATTTTTTTGCATATGTTTTTACATTTCAAAGCAACTCTAACTTCATAAAGATCTTGAATTACACAGCAAAGTCAGATTTTTGAAAGCATCAAGAGAAACTGTTGTGACATGAATTGCTGTTTCATGTTTACAAAACTGTAAAACAGTGGGGACACTGTGGAACTTAAAACTCTATTCATGATACTGTGTCTAAAATTATCAGTGCCTGGAATATATTAAACAAGCACATGTACACCATTTGATACGCGGTTTTTCCTTTTTCTCATTCTCTGTCCTGAAGCCAGTATGTTCAGTGTCATTATTTTCAACATGTTTCTATTTTCTAACACACAGCTCTATTTTGTCACTAAACATTCTCTTTTCTCATTTTTTTTCTCTCACCCTCTCTTTCTTCCATTTTCCTTCTTCTTCTTCTTCTTCTTCTTCTTTTTTTTTGCTACAGTTGGTGTGTGTTCCTCTTGGCACCGCTCCCGTAGCTTGTTTGATGTGGTTTCCAGAAGTCCTGAACTGCAGTCCCTGGCCACTCTTTCTGTCATCGGTAGACCTGCTGTCTCTTTAGTCTCCATTGACTCTTTTTAACCTCCTCCTTCCTCACATTGAAGCAGCTGCTTTCCTTCCCGCTGCACATTTCTGCATGGAAATGATCTGATTCCCATTATTTGGTAGTAAACCAGATTTCACTGTGGGCTGCATACACAAGTGCACTCTTACAAATACACTTGGCTTCATTGAAGAACATCTTCCAGGCTATGTTCCAGTCAGTGCCTAAAAAAAAAATAAAATAAAATAAATAAAAAGAAGCCTACTTTATCCCAATTTAGAATAAAATAAGGAATGTCTAAATTTGCTTTTTAACCTGCAATCCACTGGCGCCTTGTACTTTTTTCTACCACAATATTATGTAAAACTATATCAAAGTTAATTAGCCCTCTTACACCATTTTCTACCTGTGACCTCCACTCATTGTAATTTGAGTGATAGACGAAGAGGAAGTGGAGGGAGCCTGATAGTTGTTTCAAAGAGGGCCCTGTAGAGGACAATCAGTGACCCTCTATGTGCACCTTTCCTGCATATAGCAGCATGTTTAAAGGGAAACTGATAGGCAGGTGAAATATCCGCCACTTACAGAAAAGAGGCAGGGACCCGGGAGGGCACACAGGACAGAATGGATATGGATTGGGTCACAAGGCTGACGAGGCCATCCTTACGAAATGAATATTCCTTGCAGAGTACTCTAGGTGACACTTAGGTCTAAGGACAAAACCCAAGAGCAAAAATTTAATTCCTAACTTTTGTTTTCACAGATAAAGGTGCTGCGTCACATTTTTGTAACATTTCATACCACCTTCCGGGTCATATCGGACTATTTATAGTGACAGTGGATGATTTGTTATACCCAACATCTAATGAAGGTTGTAGACTTTGGTCTCTTCAGTCATTAGTGTACATTTGAAACAGAAAAGTAAATGGAATAATCAAGTAACTGCTTTCTCCYTACCAGCGGAAATATATATTATCATGAGATGGACTTCCACTTCGTATCAAATGGATGCTTTGCGGTGGAGGCAGAGCTAAACATGCCCAGGGGGCTCGAGCTAGATTGGTGTCTCATTTTCAGGGGCAAACAAACACATACAGGGACCAGACATGGCTGTCACATCTCCCTTAGCTTCCCTGTCATCCCCCCCGAGGGCAGCAGGCAGGGGCGACCTCTGCGCTCTGGTCGTACCATGAAAATCTACATGCGCCGGAGACAAAGATGCATTTGCTGCAGACTCACACAAACGGATAGCAGCATATGTTGCAGTTGTTGTGGCCGCTGCTCCTTGTCACTCTCTTGCGATCACCGGTCTGACCTTCCGAGCTGAAAAGGAGCGCATTTTACTCCCCAAACATGGCTCCATTTTTAACTTTCCCAGATTGATCAGTGATTGTGCTGGCGCCAAGACGCTGTATAGCTTTACATCAGCGAGGAGGAGGTTTAGCGGTTTTCAATAGTATTTCAGGATATCCTTGCTGCTGCTGTTGCAGTTTTTGGCAGACTAACAGCTGCCACCAGCATTAGTGTATGAGCAGACACTTCTTAATGTTCCCCAGCTCTGGCCTCATGTGTCACATGGACTCCATCCAGCTTAACCCAGTTAGGATCCACAATGGCTGGGCTGGTCAAAAACAGTGTGGGACCAGCAATTTACAATATGCTCAAAGCTGTCTCTTCATTACAAACTATAATGAGTGGACCCTCTCTTTTGGTGGCCTCTGTTTGCCCACAGAAGGCAAACATGGAGGAAACACCTTACTAATTATATGCGATTTATTATTACAGATGAAAAGTGATTACTTACAGTCTCTGGACCAAGGGAAATTAGTCACATAGCATTGTTGCTTATAATTTGACAACACTGCCTTGAATTCACTGAGATGTAAAATTAATTCTTGCAGTTGTTTTCAATGGGACCTTCATGTTTGCCCTGCTCACAGTTAAAAATCTGAGAAAAATACAAATGATTGGGCTTGGCTCAGTAACTTCATTGTGCAGGGAAAAAGAAAGCCAAACTGGATGGGCTTCAGTGGTTTTAGGCCTTTTGAGGGTTGGTTTGTCAGGATTTATGTATTTAATTACACACTCATTCTACTAATGTAAGTCAAGAAAAAAGGAAAATGGATAAAAAGCTCCATCAAGCCTATAAGCTTGTAGTTTTCCCTCTTACTGAAAGTTGGCCACTGCTGTTGTTTAGCTCCCCTTGAACTGGGCTAATACTTGTCTATTCCGATTAGGATTAGTAGCATGGGCTCAGGGACCTGGGACACGTAATCTAATAAATCAAGATAAAAAACACAGAGATTGGTTTACAGAGGGCTTGGATTTACTGTTGGCCATCTCAGAGAAACAGGGATTAACACGGCATTTGGTACTGTAGGACTCCCCATACACACCCCACCCTCTGCCGAACACACACACATACACACTGAGAGAGAACTGGGGGAGTTTTATGCAAAGGAAGGAGAGGGAGTCCAACACAGGGAGGTAAGATGAAGACTTAGAGGGAGGGAGAAGGAGAGAAGGGCTGGCTCAGGCTTTATATTCCTTCGTAGACAGCAAGTTAAACTCACAGTGACAGGGTCAGGTTAGTCCTTGTACAAAAGGCTTTGTTCCATAGGCAGATTAAAGGTCTCTCTGACAGATTTTACACTTTTGGATCATGTTGAACATGTTAGCAGTTAATCCTGTCTGTAAGGGAGAAGAAGCCCTGTTGCCAAACAAATGAGAAATAGGCTCTGAGAATGGTGAGCACACTTTGGAAAAAATCAGGAGTCCTCTGCTTAATTTTAMAAAAAAAAAAAAAAAAAAAAAAATCCCTCCATGAGTCAGGCTTTTTTTCTGCTTCATTCATAAATAGTGAAAAAGAAGGCACATACTTTGGAATGYCCCTGTTTTAGTTTATATGTAACTGGCTAAAAGTTTAACTGAGATTAAGAAGACTTTAAATGTAAAATATGTTTGTTATTTACTCTTTTAAGCCAGCGTTGTTTGGAGCCAAAGTTGTCATGGAGCCATTACTTGGTGTTTTCTGTTTTAAAGCATTTATACACATTTTTTAAATTTGGGGCCAGAATGTTGATTATGTGTCCTGACTCTAGTGATTTGACAATTCACGGCARTCCAGTGGAATTGTCATACCCATTTGATTTGATGACGTTTACTGCCAAATAATGTTTTTGCCTCTCTTTCTGTGTTTTCATATTTGTGTCAGTTCATCTGTCTACCTGTTAGCAAAATATCTCATAAACTACAGGATGGAATTTAATTAAACTTTCAAAAATTAATTACTGGATGCAAATCTTCAACTAATTACCATTTGGAAACAATCCAATTCAAGATGGCTGTAGCTAATTGAGCTTAGCCAACACAAAAATGGTATTAAATCTTCTAATTTTAAATATATGGAGCTAAGATTTGGTATGGTAATCACTGAGGGTCTTTCCAAACACATATTCCGAGTGCTCACAGAGTTGGCAACTGCTTGAGATATTGCACAATTTTTTATTGAACCCAAACAGCTGTATCACTATCATTTCTCTATATTAGATGATTTTAGTTTAAAACATGAAAGGTGGGAGATGATATGCATTCTCACAGGGAATGCTAGGCCTTTAATTTATTCCAGAGCGACTAGTTTGAAGAATTACTGGCAGTTATCTGTCGCCGCTTCTCTCCCGATGAACCTTTATTTTCTGAGAATCATCACTAAAATAAATCCACCTGAAATTTGAATTCTTCCTATTTTCTCCCCGCTGCCAGGGTTTCGCATAAAGTTTTACATATCAAAAGTGGAATGTTCTTTCATCTGCTTGCGTGTCTTGTTAAGCAATATCAAACACAGGAAATTCTTTCTACATCCACATATAAAGCTTGATAAATCCTAGCAACACATCGCAGCTTGTGCAAAAAGAGGCCTTTTCTTTCTTTCCGGGGGAACTGTTAGCAATATCACTGGGCAATTAGCAAGGAAACTAGAAAGAAATGGAGAAGCCAATTACTTCTGTGAGTTAGCTAAAGGCCATTTTAAACTGTGTGCCCATGACATATTAATGTTTATGGTAAATATTATAGTTGGAGACAGTGAGTGCATGGCGTGAGAGGCGAGGGGGGGGGAGAGGCATCAATCTCATATCGAGAATAATTTATTAAGATCTGAGATGCGGCAATTACGTGGAAAGGACCAAAAAGAAAAAAAAAAGAAGACACCAACTCTCCAGGAACCGCATACATGATTGCAATCTTGATTAAATCCCCCTGGATCTAATGAGTTGATTTTCTGCTGTTAATATTGCATTGGCTGATGATGGATTCGTTAAGATAATGGAACGAAGCTAAAATATAAATGACTCCCTGTCAAGGAGCAGATTTTCGTCATTTTCCGTCTGACACCTCCGCCGTGGGGATTTGGTGAGGCCTTTTTGTGTTTAAAACCATCAGGATCTGGAATACTAATTGCTCATGTGTGGACGCCTCTAATACCTCTCCTCCTTCCACCCTCTCCCACCACCCCTGTTGATCATCCCGGTAAATATCTGCTCTGCATCTCTACGTGGAAACAAAGACAGCAGCTTCTTTTCTTTAAGGCTGATGAACGTGTCCCTCTTTTTATCTTTAGAAAACACAAATCACAGGTATTTTTCTGTTGAGCTCGAACACCTTTGTTTCACCTATCAGTTCACAGCTGAAGGGCATACTTTTCAAGCTAGTAGAAACTGACAAAAAATACTAAAAAAAACTTGAGGAAAAAGGCTTCTGCTATCGACCTGTGCTGTCGAAATGAATTAATAATGTGGTCTCCCTTTGGTGCCGTGGAGAGCCCCTCAGCTAGTCTTTCTTTGTTTTAAATTGTCTGCCACGTAGGTCAACTGGAGGAGCAAAATCTACAATGTATAGAGTATTGATTCCATATCTCATCTCTACAAGTATCATTTTTTACTCTAGTGTAGTAGAAACCTAGAATATCATAGTGTGATTATTCTGAAATAAATATGCTC